GTCACTCGTGTAGCTTGAAAGGTGAGAAGAGCGTCCCTGACGCAGTCTGTGACTTTTGGATCTGGTGGGGAAGATGAGATCAAATAAATTAGGTACACAAAAAAGCAAACAGGAACGACACTCGGATATACAACCTCCCATCAGTTAAGGTGACCACAGATATGGAACAAACAACGATTAATTTTGTATCGCCCTTCAGAGCAGCTGTGCAACACTGACCCCTTGTACACAAAATGATTGCCTATGTCAAGTAGCTCGGCGGTTCAAATTCGACGCTGCTTATCCAATTGTCCCTATCCACGCAAGGGCACCTGGTAGAAGCTCATTTTTCAGACTTCTCTCAGGCTGTTGTTCACTTCATAAAACGAACAAGTAGACTACACAGTGTACGGTTTTAAAGAGGCTACACATTCAAAGACCTCGATGGACTTCAAGCTGAGCTCCAAAAACGTTGTGTGGACTAGACTTAGCGCGTGTAAGTTGCCCAACCTGGAGGTATAGAATAGTTAGATCAATTTGAACTAGTCCGGAAGAGTCGACCTTGGGTTGATGATGTGATCTGAAAGATGCGATTCGTCGGGGAGTCGACCATAGGATCAGTAAAATTAGTCTCGTGGAAAATTCCCGCGCCTCGGCTTGGTTAACGGCAGTCGTAAAAACAAAAGAATTTTATTAGATGCAATTCACACAGCATTAAAATCGAAACGCGAAAAAGTCTATTTTCTAACTGAAAACTAATACACAATCAGATTTCAACTGTCCGCAGGACGAAGATTAATGTTTCCGTTAACTGAATAGGGCCTTTTGCATTTTTGCCGAGACTGACAGATAACATTACAACGAAAACAGCCAAAAAGACAGTGTGAAAGAGTTGGTTATAACAAGGACAAAAAGGTGGTCTGCTGGAAATTGAAATGCCTTCCACAAATCTAGTCTCCTGAAGAATTTTGGAGTCCTCATCTCAACGCTATACGGTTAGGGTCAGGTGCTTCCACCAGGCCCTGCCCCTCACTACAGAAAATCGTGCCATTCCGAAAAAAATTTGTTTGATCAGCGATATCAATTAGCAAATGTCTTCTCTGGCTTTATATTCCGGCACATGTCCGTCATCTTATGTATGCTCCGGATTCGGAATGGATCAAGGTCCCGACCGAAAGCTACATGGCTAAAGTAGGCTTTCTGATGCAAACTTCGAGTCCGCTTTGATCTTAACCATCCTAACCATCCACTCCTAAGCACAACATAGCAAAAACGATAATATTCCATCTTACACATTTCTGCTGTTTTAATGGTAACACCCAACGTCGCAGTAAGCCAACGCGCTTCCGAAACGTTAGGAAGCTTTTGTTTAGTAATATTCCGTATCCTTTCCCAATTCTCCCCACGGTAGTATTTTGTGAATCATACTTCAGTTTTGTTCACAGCGAATGCTGGCGTCAAATGCAATTAGATCTGAAGAATTTGGCATCACGCACTCGTAATAAGCACCATATACCCCCAAATTAACCGGTGTAAGTCAACAACGACAAGAGAACACCATAGTTGTTTGGGGGAAAGTGAGCCAAAACAATCTTTGCAATACATGCTGAAAGGTGAGGTGTTCTCTCATGCAACGTGCAGAAGGTAGGATTACTTTCCTCCTTCCCAAACACCAACCAAGGTAAAACCAGAATAAAGAAATATACCTGAATCTTCTAGACCAGATTCAAACAAGTCCATTGCTTGAGAGGAACATGCGAGATAGTAGAATACTCGAAACACCTCTTCTTGTTCGACAGGAGCTTGAGTTGATGACATATAATGCAGGCAGAGTCTCTGAAGCAGAGAAACGAGAACAGATGGTGCACCGTCCGACAACAGACGAACGAGGAAACAGCTTGAATAAATAGGCTAGGAGTACAAAGTTTTTGCTAAAGGTTTCCATGGCCCCGGACAAAAGTAAGGAGTTCTCAACACACAGCAAAGACAAAGTTGCATACTTGGTAAACCACCAACATAAACCTGGAGACAAACGACTTTGCTGGAAGATCGGTTGGTGGCGCTGAAGGATATTCGTGAGTGAAACTGATCACTGGCTAACGAAACTTCGAGAGTTTTGTCGGGTTCAGTCACGAAATTCTTTCATCAAGACTGCAAGCACAAACAGAAGCGTTCGACGCATCCATCTTCATGTGAAGTAGTCGCGCCCAAGAGACAACGTTCACTGAGACCGTTTGCTTCAGTGCTTGTTGGGGAACATGCGGGAGGTCGAACTCGGACATCCTTTCTGAAATGCTGCTTCTCAGCCAGCCAAACAATTGGAGAATATGTCTAAGCCCAACAGACTATTCAAAAGGTTGCTGAAGGTATTTCGAAAACCGGCGACCACTTTTTCCAGTCTTGGGGGTCATCAGAGAGGCGCAGTCTCGGAGATTTCGTCAATCTCATATTCTATTTGAATCCAGGCTAGATAGAATTCGATAAATAGTCTCATTTGTACACGAATTTCGTCTTGAAAGGAAGACTCAACTGATTCCAGATGAATCTCTCGTTTATGATGGTCTTTTCTAGCTGTTGCGTTTCGACAATGCACTGCGATATCTCGAATATCGTACAAACTGAAACAGAAGGTGACCTGATGCAGCACGTTCAGCTGGAAGATACCAGCATGAACGGAATATTCAGTTGGATTCAGTTGAGTCCCCCAGTAGAAACCAAATTCGTGTGCAAATGAAGGCATCTGTCGAATTAAAGAGTATCCGTGACAATACATGGCGACAGTTTGCGACCTGCCGTTGGACAAGCTTCTAAGGAGGGTGCGTCAGAAAATTGGGTTTCGTACATCCGTGTCAACATCACCCAACATCGATCACAAGTGGAGAAAGATACTTCAATATCTCGGATATTGGTCTACATAAACCCTCCTGGGTTTATTGCAATGGACATTCAGCCGAAAGCCGAAAGCTGCTTTCTTTGAAACTCGCGAGAACGAGTCGAGACCAAGGTCTACTGCATGAAATGGTGCCTGCTGGAAGAGCGATAGAGGATTTCCCTCCGATAGTCATTACCGACTGAATTACTTAAAAATGGTGAAAGCGAAAGGTTCAGGCGAATCTTGATTGACTCTTGTTCACACATGTAAATGAGCCGTTTCTTCAACATCAATGACTGCTCGAAGGACCAAGGGGCACTACCGGAGATAGGCGATGGACGCATTTTTACCAACAGCACCTCATCAAGTGGTGTCATGAAACACAAGCACCTCCAGAATGCGCAGGTAACTGGAACCAAGCGACGAAATCTCTCCGTGCTCCCACGGCAAGGGAAAACGCCACAAACAACTCAACCACACAACAACCCAGTTGTATTACTGAACCCCTATGATTTCTACTTGTTAAGCTGAGCACGACTCTGGTGTCCATACGATCAAGTCTGAATCAATAGCCTGTACGTATGGAGGAACTCATTACCACTCAGCTGGTTCCCTGAAAATGAGCTTGAACAGTCATAGGACACATGTAGTGGCTTTTCATCTGATTGCGATAAAGATATGTGGTTTTGATGAAAGTATCTAAAATTGGAAAAGTGTCACCCTATTTTTTCATTGACGAAACGACTTATGTACATAGTTTTCAAGAGAAAACTGACAGTCAACTTAAAGGCATCCACGAAGAGATTTGGTTCACCGACGTCTAAACGAAAGTCAGCGACGTTAACTACTGTGTAATGTGTGTGTGTGCAATGTAAAAATTCAGGGTGGGTGAGCGAAAACAGGCTACTGCTGACGCCTCCGTTCTTTCTTTTTCTTCCCCCTCTCCCCACCCCATTATTAACTCTTTACTTGTAGACCCAGTACTTAGGACTGATGACTCCGTTGTCCGAATTCACGTCTGCCCAAGAGTAAAGGTCCGCGTGTGGTGACTGGTGCGTCAATGTCCCTAAGGTCACCCGGTGTATATTTATGTGTGCTTCCCGTTGATATTTTACGCTCCGTCTTAAATATATCATGCTACAGTTTGGTTCCTTCATCGTCTAGTTCAAATGGGTTCAGTTTAGTTTGCACCCTTAGTTTACATATTACATCTGAACCTGAACTCGTTCTCGGTTTTCGTGGAACACGCGTTATACACCGAAAAATAAGAAAATAAAGACTGAGAGGTTCAAATATAACTATTAACTCCATGCAACATAGAATCCCGCCTTTTCCAGACTGCGGTCTAGGGGGGTTACGTATGTATGCACCAAATCATCACAAACTGGTCCAAATCTCAATAACCAGGGGGATCGCACAAAAGATCGTCTCCAAATGAGAGTAAAGACTGATTTCACACTTGCTACATAGGTATTTTCGGTAACGGCAATGGATTAGTTGGTTGATAGTTGATTCGCACACACGTGAGGTTAAACTTACGGTCACATGCTTCCGATCCCAGTAATGTGGCACATTACGCGCCAAAGTTCCAAGGTCCCGTAGTGCTTTCTGACGGACAATGGACCTTTCGTCTGACAGATATCCGAGTAAAAGATCTAACTGTAAGCCAAAAACGGGTTGGGTGAAAATGATGGATTCGGGAACAGCAAGTGATTTAAATGATAATGGACCAATATGTTCCGCATGTTTAGCCATTCCAGTGAACGTTTGAAATCATTATCGAGTAGCTATAAGATGTAACATGACTAGAGTGCAAGCGCAGAGTGACATAGGTAGATTCTAGTCATATATCGCACCGTTACTGAATCGAGGCTGAACTTCCTCTTGAATACGGACAGAAGAAAACGCTCAGCTGTAACACCCTTCCGGTGCCTAGCTGCCATGCTACCCGAAGGAAGCACGAGGGCTGAGATACTGCCCGGTTGCCCAAACCTAGACAGGGGAAGTCGAGATACGAAGGACAGGTTCGGACCACGGACCTTCCGGTTAGCGCTCTAACCACATAAGTCATCTCGCCCCAATACAGATAGAATGGACATTCATATTGTACGCACTAAACACCTGGAAGTATTGATTCAGTCAGGTATGGGAAAGGTAGTCACATCTCTACCAAATGCAATACGAAAGGACAGTCCAAAGGATTGAAGTTTGGACGGATAGATGTTACAGAACAGTGAGAGTTCCTAACTGAAATGCCTGAAGGTAGATTAAGTGAGTCGGATAAGCGACTTTAAATGGAGGTCGGTCGCACCGGACCAGCTGCATTATGACTCAACGATTTCGAGATTATGAAGACCTAGCAAGTTGCGCTGATCAGTAGTCAAACTTTACGCTTACCCGAGCATCTTAGTTTAGAGTTGTATTGCGGGTTGTTCGTTCAAGTACGAGGAGAACACAATGTGCGCTGAAAAACTACTCAACGAAGGCATAGTGCCATGCCAGTGTTGGGTGCCATCGGTTCATATCATCTTGCCTAGTACCTCATTACGTTTACCGTTGTCTCTTCCTGAAGTCTGTGCAGTTTTGAGCGACGTTAAATTCCAGAATGGAAGGTCTGAGTTTCTGATTAACAGGCTGTTGGTTCAAATGGCTTTTCAGGTGTTCTTGTCTGGACTTGATCGGTATGAGAGTAGCTCAACCTCCGCGCTTAATCAGGAATATATATCAGTCGTGCACTAAGGAAATATTACATCGGAGCGGTCCAACTTAAATTGTTTATTTTTACGCCGTTTACAGTGAAACGTGTACAGTTTATCAAAAAGGGGGTCGGGAACCAGCGTCCATATGGAACCGGAAAGTTAAAATGATAGTATATTACTTCATTCACCAGGTCGTTTGAAAAACTACGTCCAAGTAGAGTTGTGTGGAAACAACAGGAAAGATTTGAAATAACCCACTTGGTAGTGAAATAAACAACCAAAATATGGTGTACAATATTTCAGTGGACAGAATGGCTACAAATCATCCACTGCTTTGCCAAGCGGAATATACCATATACATATGCCATATACATACGCCATCTTTCGCATAGATGCTCTTAGAAGGCTTATTCAATAGTTCTTTAAATGCATAGTAAGCAACTTGTTAGTTTTCGGAAAAGTTTGGCAACAATCGGTGGATTTATTGCTAATTGGTAATGTTAGCGTCCTCCGTAGGTGTTCAATGAAGATACCATCCGTCTGGCAGTTTCATTCAGAAGCCTTGTTTTCGTATCAGTAGACTTGAGAAGAAATGCATCACAGGAAAATACACTTGCCCAAGTCAAGCCAAGGTGAGTGATACCAGGCGGTACCGATGCGCTAAGCATGATCCATAATTCTATCCAGAGTCCATTAGACCGTCATAAAAAGCATTAAAATCGACGAAAAGGCTGTCACGCCGTTCGTGTCAGACACCTGGCATCTTCGTACACCACATAAGGATACTCCACTCACTCAACTGGTTATGAAATATGAAGTTCGCTAAACGGCCTATTATCATAATTTAGGTAAGTGAAGGAAGCAAGGACTTGAGATGCTGGAGTGTTTCTACAGGAATGCCGACTTTGACCATCTGAGTCCACCGGCAACAACCATGTGATACTTGATCCACTAAATCCAAAATACCCCAATCCTTCTGGCACCTTCACCGTGGAACAATGCATTAGATTCGTGAGGTAACCGTCCATAAACGTCTTTCATCTGGCATCCGGCTCCACTGAAATTTTTCGTTTGGCTCGGCAATATTTTACTGCTCGGGATGACCAGAATCACACTAAGCGAACCGACTTATTTGGGTTCCTCTATACCCTGCTGAATATGTGTACCTAGGTCATACAGTAGTGAGCTGAAATGAACATCAGCTATTAACTCGACGTACTTCGGATGTTGGAATATCAATGAAAACATCGCTTGACGTCAGCCAAGGAGAGTAAGAGCCAACAACCCATAAGACTTCTGTAGTTATTTCGCACTGGCTTCTGGTCGTTCATCCTTTGAGGTGATAGTCTGGAAATTTACACTTTTTGAACAATAACACTTGAATTTCTGTTTGCTACGGCTTATCTTATTTGTGTTTGTTTTATACTAGCTTGACACGGCAGTCGCACAAAACCATATTGGGGACAATAACGTGACGGCCCATCGAATAATACCGTGAGTTGTGAAACTGTCATAATTCCATACCATGTGGCAACCTTACAGACAACATGCCTACATAATGAATGTGGCAACCATACTGAACCAGAAACAGTGAAAATACAGGATGCCTCAGGAGACGAATACCTGTTCCGATGTATGCAATGGAGCAGCCGATTCGAGAATGGTTAATGTGTCCAGAATGTTTGTGACAAATTCAACTGTACCATACACTGTGAGCATTTCGACCAGGCAGCTACGCATCTACGAGAGAAAGACATGTGGATTAAAAAACCTGTACAAACCTGTTCCGCAATTTGCACATCGTGATGCATATGCTTGCCTAGGCGCAACAACTTCAACTTCACTTCCACTTCCGTGGACAGACTGCCCAACAACTTGCAAAGGATGGGGCATAGACTGACAGCAAATGCACTTAAATTGTAACAAACCAGAACCACGCTATTTTACCTGGAGATAGGAGCCAGCTGGTGACTAGACCAAATAGCAGCGTCTGCCTCCACCATATAATGCGATTCAATTTGCTTGAGAATAGCATGATGCACCCCAATATGCTCACGGGTAATTTGACAGAGGGTGCCGAACAGACTGGGGGAAATAAGAACATAAGCATGTTAGAACTTACCGTAACGTCAGAGCGCGAGTGACAGGATCGTTGCTCTCTGTGAAAGGGCGAAGTTTTCTCACAATATCATCACAAACAGTGAGCTTTTCCAAATGAGCTTGACAAGTTCTGCAAGCTCGGAGAACGCACAGTCGAAGATAGTTGGTTCTAAGTTTGCTCGATTATAATTGTGGTTAAGAACCTACCCATCACAGAAAATTTGTGTGATCTTCAAAAAGATGGAATTGACCACGATGGGAAAAGGATATTTCTCAAGCAAATTCGGGAACTGTGCGATAGCTTTACATTGCTCGCCCAAGTTAACAGATTGTAACCCTATAATAACGTGGATTCCGGTGCCCGTACAGAGATCGTACCTTTGTTTAACTCCATAATAAGGAAATTCGCATCTTTCCCAATATCTGTTTCATTTAGTTGCTGAGTTTCGGTGGTCATAGTATAAGGCTGTTCAAAAGCGGAAACAGAAGGAAATTAGTGAATCAAAATGGAAATGTACCGGATTTTAATGCGCAGCAATGTGGCAGTCGACTTCCTCATTTCACCTAACCACTGAATCGTCCTGTTTACATGTGAATATGTAGCCATTCCACTCGAATCTGTTAGGTTACAGTTATGCTGCTAAGCAAGGACTTTGAAGAGTTCGGCTTGCACGTTTAAGATGTCCTATTAGTTCCAGGTTGAGTGAAGTCACTCCTAATCATGTGGTTTCGTGTCTGCGCCACTGCTGATAGGGCCCCAATAGAAGATGTTAATTTTGATAACGATATGCTGAGTGACTTGAGTTTGCAATGCAGCATCTCCGTGGGTTTATGGGTACCATGATGGGTGAATACCAAGACTCGCCAGAAGGAGACTACTGTGGCTGGACTAATTCCTGTTATATCCACAAACAGAAACTTTATTCTGTGATCAGTACCCTAGCATCATCTTCGGCTGTGAAAACGGCATATCTGTAAAGTGGCTATACTAAATAATATAATCGTTCAGCTGCGACACCCTCTCGGTGCCTAGCTGTCATGTCACCCGAAAAAAGCACGAGGGCTGAAATACTGTCATGTTGCACAAACCTAGACAAGAGCAATCGAGATGCACAAGTGCGCTACGAAGCACGGACCTGTGAGTCAGTATTTTCACTCCTTAACTAATGAGCTACTTCGAATTCAGTAAACTAATTAGTGTCACAGTTTCGTTCGTCGATGATCTGTGGAAGTACGGGCAGGTAGCAGATAAAATTTCGGCGTCGATAGAGGGTTCTTAGTGGGCTTTTCGTTAAAAAGTTCGAGATAGGAAGCTAAGCGCTGAAGGTCATAGGTTGGATGCATGCGCAGCACTGATTAGGGTGAGATGGCCCAAGTGGTTAGAGCGCGAATCTACTGACCGGAAGGTTCGTGGTTCGAACCCGACCTCTGCCACCCGACTTCCTCTGTCTATGCTTGGGCGACCTGGCAGCATCCAAGCCCTCGTGCTTCCTCCGGGTGGCATGGCAGCTAGGCAAGGCACCGGAGTTGCAGCTGAACGACTATTATTAGATTACTTAGTGCGTGACTGGGTCATGTCTAAGAATCTTTGACTGATGTGACCCGTCTCGGGGTTCCCATCAAAGGAGACGGCAATGACTAGCGCAGCTGAGTTTGTTGCTAATTGCTTTCATACTTCGCTACTAAATCATTCTTTGGCATCCCCCGGTTTTTTTCCACCCTTCGCGTGGTTGTGCGAAAATAGTCCTTCGAGGAGGCCGGTCAACTGGCATACGGAGCACGTGACTGGTTGAATGTCACCCGAAGGTTGCACGAGGGCTGCAATACTGCCAGGCTGCCCAAGCCTAGACAGGAGAAGTCGAGAGGCGTAGGTCGGGTTCGAACCACGGACCTTCCGGTCAGTAAATTCGCGCTCTACCTACTTAGGCCTACGTGACTAAGCAACCGCAACCTATTAAGTGTGATCAGTTTATCCATCGTGAGCGAGTTATTTCGCGCCCAGACCATTTGGCCTACTTCTGTATTACTGGTCCGGTATTTTCACCAGGCTCGGGCAATGCACTGAAGACACTAAGAGATTTTGACGTCCTCGGCACGCAGCGGCCAAGTTTCTGGTCGGTGTAGTAATATGAAGCGCACTACAATACTGTAAACCCTACCCTTGACGGATACGAGCAGATGCGCAAAAAAGATGCAGGTTCACGAAGGCTGCTCTGGCCTTCCCAAACAGGATAGAATTATCATCTTTGGCAAAACCGAGTGATACAGATGCCAAGGTAGACAAATTTGTCTACCGCCTCAATCGACTCATCCGCAAGCATGAGGCTAGGGTTCGAGCTCACCCAGTCTTGCAGCGTCACTCTATATTTTTTAACGTGTGAAGCGCATGCCAAACCGTGAGGAAGAATTAAGATTATTTAATAGAGCCAGGATTATGATAGAACCAGATCCAAGGACCATGTCGTCTGAAAACTCGATATCCATGAATAAATGCCTTGAGGAACGTTTCAACCCCATGTGTATTAGAGGCTGGAATTGGCTCTTCAATAGTCGTATCATAGGAGATGTTGAAGAGAAAGGAGGAAAATGGCAGTACTGTGGGACACCACTTGGTGTAACGGACTCAGGCAAGAGTTTCCCATGGAATCTAACAGGCCCACGGGAGATGGCGTACGGTCTCTTAGGGCGAGTCGGGAATCTATCGGGAACACTGCTGTTTCATGGGCACTGCCATAACGTCCATAAGGTCAAACGCAGCTTTCGAAACAAGGAAAACCGCTGTTGGCTGCTGGAAACAGCAGCAGCGATTCCAGAATCTGTCGGAGGGTGAAAAGGTGATCGATGCATGCTCTTGCAAAATGGGATCAAGCTTTGTTTTTACGGATCCACCCGTCCCTTTGTTCAGTCATCTTCCGAAGAATGAGACTAGGGAACACCTTCGATGCAATAGCTAACAGGCCAATGCCACGCGCAGAGTAAGCGTATGGATGACTACCAATGTGGCAAGTTCTGCAGCCACTTTATCTTCACTTTATATCGCATCAATGAGTTTCGTCAAACGAGTCATCAAGGTTCCCAGCATATCTTGAATAGGTATGGTGTGACGCTGCACGTCGTGCGACTCCGCATCGGCTCTTGGCTCCCTGCTCCGCCCACTATTGTGTATTTTAAGGCACTGTGGCTTCAGATAGCCCGTTATGAAGACAAAGGAAAGCTAGTACAACTGTATAGGGTAACCACAGAATATTCCACAATGTCGTGCCATAACTCCCTTGAGGGGGCGAGAAGCGTCGAGCTAAAGAGGCACGACACGGATTGGCTGACATTCTGACCAATCAGGGCATGCCTTCTTTTTGTCCGTAGCCCGCAAGTGACGTGCTGTATGATTATTAGGGGTGAATGGCCTCCGGACATATGGATGCAGACCTTCTGGTCCTGGTAGTTTTTCAGGTTCCCGTATGGATATCTGGTATTAGACCTCCTGGAGATCCAGTAGATTGTACGTTTCATTATCCCGCATCCGATGTCTTCAGCAGCTGCATTGCAGGAATCCAGCCAACCTCTTCCTCAAAGTATTCGGTCCATCTTTTCAGTCAGCGTTTTTTCGTACGGATTAATGAGCCGTCTTTTTCACCTGCCGTTTTGCAGACAGTCGTTTTCTTTTGACTGATCCTGTTGATTGGTATAGAGCTTGACTCCCTCTGATAGCAAGGGCCACCTCCATTCCGTTAGCTTTCGGTGTCGACCTAAGCTCTCGATCTTTCAATGGGCTGCTCACTTTTTGGTCTTTGATGGAGTTGTGTGCCACGTCGTACATGTTGCTTGCTGGTACGGATTTCCTGGCATTAGTCAGGACTAGACAACGGCCATTTGACCTCATCAGAGAGGTCCAGCAGACTTCTCTAGACACTTCTCGCTTAGAGCCTTCAGCCTATTGTCATACCTAATCGACATGCCTGTTGCCAGTACTGTGTTAGTTTGCGCCAAAGTGTAGTTGATTTAGGTCAGATATACGCTGGTAAGCCGCTGTTTTTCTCCGAAGCTGGTGGATTAGCATGCTCCTTGCTGACTTGCGAGGGCCTGGAGGAAAGCCTGCATGTCAGGCGTGCCCGCGGCAGTGTGATCAAAATAAAGTTGTGCTCCTGAAGGAACGACAGAACTGAATTGTGGCTCTTCACCAGGGACTGACAGCCACCTCAGCATGCCAAATATGTAAAACCTGTGATGTTCGGTCCGTATCGTAATTCACTCAGTTTTCTGAACAGGCTACTGATGTTCCTATGTTCCTTGAAACATAAGAATGGTAGGTCGGCGAATCAATCCGAGCAAACAGTGGCCTTAACATTTATGGTAAAGATACCAGTTTTGCAATCCTGAACGCTCTGTGTTTCAGCTGATTGTCGAATCTCTCAGCGACTTTCCGGTGAGGACATCCACTTCAAATCTGTAGGACATCCGCGCACTGATAGTCCATTTTTTAGAGATGGCTCCCGTACGAGGTGAGCCAGTCTTCTTAAGCAGTAAACATGTCTCGTTTCATTTTGAGTTTAATTTTGAATCATTTCCGTCATCTGATTCTATTCGCTTCTCCCATCGAACTGACGGATAAACGAAATCTTCCCAAATGTCTCGCCCGTACGGAAGGTACGTCACTGGGAAGAATACCGATTCGTTGTAACCAAAACTACTGGGGAGGTAAGTCTTTGACACAGAAAACATAATAATGAGAGGCTACTTATGATCCAAACGCAGTGGCACACATGAACCTAGTTTTTCGTAAAGGCGCTCCTTCGAGTTATGATGTGACCATGATGACATCGAATTGACGGCTTTCTGGATTTATTTTAGATAGTCGAAATTTTGGATCAGTTATCGAAATAGTTGGTCGGCTAGATTGGCCTAACTGGGTTTTGTGTGACGGACATATACCCCCATATAAACCATTTTACTTTGATTCAGTAGAATTCTGGGGCTTCACAGAAAAATTCACTGCTCATTCCGAGTATCATCCGATAGCGTGAAATGTACTTTACACCAAGCAACCCATACAGTCTACTGGCCTAGTGGACTACTCTTCAAAGTGAAACGTTGACGTCTTATCCGGACGGACTTTCATGGTTTGGACACATTGTTGACAGTGACAACAATCTAACACTTGTTGTTCTTGGCTTATCTACTATCAGTCGTGGCCTCCTTGGACTAACTGATGGAGACTTATCGCATTTCTTCACTTCAGTGTCCTTTTACAATCGAGCGCACATACATAAATCCCGCTCGACGCCAGCGAAACAAGAGCGGCCCCAAGGCTGATCCATTAACACAGTCGATTAATGTGGCGCCAGCTGAGAGAGGTATTTGTGCGCTTTGACTTTGAAAGAAGGATCTACTAATGGCAATGTAATCCATAAAAGCTTCCGTGAATTCCATGGGCACATGGTTTGTTCAACATAGGCCGAT